CTTTGCAGCAACAGTTTTCTGAGACATTTCATTTTAGGACGTCCAGCTGTCTTTCTGCTCTTCTTCCGATAAATACGGACAAGTTTTAAGTGAATTCGGACAGATTTTTGGTTATTTTGTCCAAATCAGAGTCATTTGGGGCAGAATTTGGTTGATTTTGGGACCATTTTTGACACATATTGGAAAGATTTGAAGTGATTTTGGTGATGTTTTGAGTCATTTTGGACCAGTTATTAGTCGTAGTTCCAGGTTGCAGTGAGCAGAAACACAGCGTCATCTTCCATTTGATTCAACGTCCTGTCTGTTGACTCCATGTCTGATAAATAAAGATGAATTTTAGGTCATTTTGGACGTCTTTGGCTGAATTTGGGCAGGTTTATTTCTTTAAGGAGACGTTTTGAGAGGATTTTTGAGACGTTATAAACAGATTAGTTTAATTTCAGACACTGTTTGGATGATTTTGGGCAAATTTTGAATTATTTTGAAGGACTTGTTTTAATGAATTCAGACAAATTAGTTTCATCAGTTGTAGCTCCACAGCTGGGATTCCTCTCATCAACATCTCATCCTCCATTTGATTCAGCAATTCATCTCTAAACTCCACTTTCAGTTAAGTCCTTTTGGACAGGTGTTGGAGTGACTTTGGACAAAGTATAAGTTGTTTTTTTTTTGCATCCGATAAGTTTGGCCTCAATCAAACTGAAACGATCTGTGACCGTCCTCGTCAAATCAGAAACAAACTGGTGAACGAATATACGAGCGATCAGGTGGAAAAGTATCCCAGACTGTTAATACACGAGCAAAATGTCCGTTCTTGTTTCTGTTTCCTTTCCGTCAGACTGAAAACCAAAATGATTCATGTAAAAATCTGCTTTTTTTGGAAATCTGCAGGGACGAAAGCAAAGTTAGCGTGACGCGTAGAGACACAGCAGCCACATTAATGGGAAATACAGCAGGTCGAAATGAAGCGTAATTTCTCTGCTGAAATTAACGCTTCCCTGTGAAGCTTTTGACCATTAGCAGCGCGATGAAGCAACTGTTTTATCGGTGCTTCAGTGCTTCGACTGAATCAAAGCACAGAATGTGAACTAATCTAGCTGAGAGGTGCTAATAACCAAAAAAAAAAGAAGACAGATGCTCTTTAGATCCAAGAAGACAGAAAGATTAGATTTGTACTTTGTGAAGAATGAGTCACAACCTAAGCAGAGAAAGAAGAAGTGTTTTGTAAAAGTAGAATTGTCTTTAATAGATGGGTTTAGCACCGACACACTTCAGCTCTCAGTCTTCATCACGTCATGAAACCTCAAGCAGCAGCTCTCAGGTTCATCACAGCTGGAGGTTTCCTCCATTCACGCTCGAGTGTTGCTCTGCAGAAGAACGAGGTGAGCAGTGATCGTAAGGAAACAGACATCGTCCAGCTTGTTCCTTCACTAGAAGATCCAAAGTCTTTGAGGCAGTTTCTTTATCCAACACCTTCATCTCCTCCATACCTGCTTCTCTGAGTGACGTTTGGTGAAACATTTTTAGGTTTAAGGTCCATTATGAGTCCAGCTGGATGATGTTCCGTATCTGTGAAGCTGTTTTTTTGTGCTGTAGCGCCACATCACCTTAATTAGTCCCCTTCAGACCGAACGGAACCGCTGTGCTTTATAAACCCATTAGTTCTAATGGATTGTGCAGTTTGCCGTTGTGCGAGTGCGGCAATCAGAGTTGGCATTAGTTGAACTTTGTGACCACTAACGGCACATAAAACAGGTAAAGCTGGTTGTTATGACATGTTTTTGTTTGAATCAAGGCCTTGGGAAGCACACCTTGTTGTAGTCAGAGGTCTTCCATGTCAGGTGTTAACGATCAGGTAGCTTGTTGTAGCACAGAAACATGTACACAGCTGTCCCCCTACATACCTCCATGGACATATTCAGATTTCTTAGATGAGGTCATCGATGTAAATTTTGAATAATCTTTCTGTTCTATAATTGGCAGCATTCTCCACTAATCACCGTTAACATTAATTGAGTTCAGAGCACTTCTGTCCTGTCCTGATGTTGCTGCTTTAGTCAATGGACGCAAGATTTAGGCCACATGTGTGACTCTGTTACGAATGAACGCCGTCCTAGTTGGTCCCAGCTTGTCTCAAACACATCTAGCTTTTACCAAATGCCCTTAAACGTCACAGAAGTCTTTGTCATGGTGCCCCTTGTTAGCTAAACTCCAACAATGCTCTCTGCTCCCCGACACGAGCGGCCTGTGGCTTGAGTTATTGAAGACTGAATTGAAACCGAGTTCTGCGGCTCCTCGACTCAGTTTCCAGGCTTTAGAAACTTTGATCTATGACGCCAACTGCAGGACGGTTAAACCAAAGTAGAGGAGAGAGAATAGACAGAAACAGAGTCCATGGGGAGAGCAGGATGTGGTGGTCGGATGGGTTAGATGGAGGCCAACAGGGTTCAAATCAGGGGTCAAACTTTGGACATGAAGTTCAACTCTTAGCTCGGCTTTCTTTCTCTGATTTGAGAATGTTCGCTTCTGGTGTTGGTCCGGTCCATTTGTACGACTCCGTCAGTTTAGAGAAAGACCTGTAGACGCCCAAAGCTCAGATGATGTGACACTTGATGCGTTTGTTGCTCGTTACTGATCTCCAGCAGTTCCCAGCTGCTGGTTGCGATGGTGAAGCTCTGGTTAGATAAACGGTCGTCGTCCAGACTGGAGCTGCTGCTGCTGCTGTGGTTCGGTCTGTGGAAACGTCCAGCTGTTGCTGTTTGTTGCTTCTATGACAGATGTGTTTATTAATTCATGTTAAGGAATACAGTGGCATTAATACAACACACACCGCCCCGGCATGTAGTCAGAGTTTCCACCATTAAAAACAAATGTGTCACAGTCTGAACAATAACCGTAGATCCAACCACAGCTTCAGCATCACAGCAGCTGCTGGATGCTGCTGGAAACCGTCCTTTTAAAATGAAATTAGCAACAAATGCTAACTGTCACATCGTCTCTTCTCTCTGTATCTGCAGCGTTTCCTTCATTTTCAGTGTGTTGGAACCAGACTGGACCAACAGAACAACTGTTGTATGAATCAGAAGAACACAAATCTAAATGTTCCTCAAACGAAACTGATTAATTGAGAAAATGACTGACAGGTTAATGAATGATGAAGAAACAACTGTTAGCTGTAGGAAACATTAAAGGAGCACTGTGATGGTTCAGAATCCAATAAGAAAGAAACCAAAGTACAAGAGGCCGACGTCAGGGTTCTGCATCAAGAACTGGTTCCAAAGTTTAGATTTCAAATGACACCATTAGTCGATTCTAGTTTCACCTGCTTGTGTTTCAAATTAGCAGCGTTCTGCAAACACTGACTGTAAACCTGCTGCTGATTTCACCAGCAGTCGTGTGAGTTTAATGCATTTGTCTCGATAAATCGTGAGCGCAGAATTATTCTGAGGGAATCTGCTCGGCCCAATTACACTGTGATTGTGTTGTAACGACGCGTTCGCTTTCAGTTTGCATCAGGTGAAAAATGGACCGAAACTTTCATTCATTTTTATTTAGAAACCTCACAAACAGATAATTGTCTCTTAGTTTAATTTGTAATTGTCCACGTTTGGGTCGTTGCTCCAGAATTGCATTTTTAAACAAAAACAAACTTCCTATTTTAATGTTGGACTGTACACCCACAAACCTGTCTGTTAGTAACTCCTTGGCTTGTTTTTTTATCTAAAAACTAAGACAACATGGAAACAACATTTGTCCACTGGTGTGACCAACGCTGGAAGAAAAACATGGTAGCTCCACATACTACAAATATTGTACTACTTACTTTTAAAACCGGTTTCCATACTTCCTAAATTGCTGCCACGTGATTGTTGGTTGCAGCTGAGTCAGCCACGGCTCTGGAACTCAGAACTTTTTGTTTTTTACAGACTCTCGATGGAGAAAACGGTTTGTCTTTGGTGATTTTTTTTAAATTGCACATGTAGAATAGAGCGATTTTAACGATATATCACAAGTGGAAGCTTAGATTTGGTCCCAATTAAACCACATGTCAAAGCCAAGGTAAAGAGTAGAAACCTGGTGGTTCTACGTCTTTTTACAGTGTCTGGTTCCTCAAGTAAGGGAGTTCCAGTATCTCGGGATCTTGTTCACAAGTGACGCGAAGGTGGACAGGCGGCTCGATGTGGTGTCAGCAGTAATGCGGGCGCTGTACCAGACCGTAGTGGTGAAGAGTTACCAGTCCATCTACGCCCCAACCCTCACCTATGGTCACCAGCTTTGGGTCGTGACCGAAAGAACAAGATCGTGGATACAAGCGTCCGAAATGAACTTCCTCCGCAGGGTGGCTGGGCTCAGCCTTAGAGATAGGATGAGGAGCTCAGACATCCGGAGGGAGCTCGGAGTAGTGAGGTCTAAAGGAGCCAGTTGAGGTGGTTTGGACATCTGGCTCGGATGCCTCCAGAGAGGCTTCCTCTAGAGGTCCACCTGAGAGGAGACCCGGGGCAGACCCAGAACCCGCTGGAGGGATCATATCTCTCGGCTGGCCTGGGAACGCCTCGGGATCCCCCAGGAAGAGCTGGAAAGCATCGCCGGGGGGAGGGAGGTCTGGAATGACCTGCTCCGCCTGCTGGACCCGCGACCCGACCCCGGATAAGCGGAAGATAATGGATGGATGGATGGTTTTGATAAACAGTGGCATTTCTGTGACTTTAAAAAATAATAATAATAAGATGCCTTTCAAACCAGCGTTCACTGTAAAGTCGAACTTGTGAGGAAGCGATCAGCAGAATCACAGTTTTGGAACCAGTTCTCGATGCACAACCTCAAAGAAACGGCGCATTTCTGAACTAAATTAAAACCGTCACCGAGCACGTACACGGAATTAAAGGTATCACAACAAAACGAGTTGCCTTCAAACTTTCCAGAGTCTTTAATTAGAAATTCGCTGCCAGGTGTCGATGTCAAAGAACGTCTTTTGTTTTACAGGCATTAAAGCGCCGACGCTGAACTAACTCTGTTCTCGGCTTGTTTTTTTTTCTTCTGTTTTCTGCTCAGGGGGAGTCGGAAACGCCTGCGAGAGCACAAGGGAGATTCCAAACTGTACCAGCGTGTGAAGCCGGAGAGAGCGTGGGTCCGTGTACAGAGCGAAGTTATCACAGTGTCGGGGGTTTCTCTCTTTTTTCTGTTTTGTAATTCTCAACACTACTGATGTTAATAGTTTTCTAAGGGACCTCATTTATACAGACTTGCATGGATGTCTCGTTCAGCAAACATCCATGCAGCTAATTACTCAATGAGATCGCTGTAATTACTGACAAACCTTCCTGGGTTTTGTGGATGTATAAGCTACATACCGACATTCATTTACAGAGTGAAATATCTTTCGTGGAAACCTATGATGAAGAGTTCTGTAAATTTCCTTAAGGAGTTTGCTTTGAGAATCATTTCAGCCTATATATAGACTATAACGTCTTCAGTCAAACAGGGAATATTATTGAAATGTACAATATTATCATCCGTTCTGTTAAATGTATATATTATTACTTTCTACATGCTCGTAGTCTGAGTGCCATGGCGACGACGGAGGATCTGACGATGGTCTGTTTTTCAAAGTGTGTTAAAACATTACTTAAAGAACTTTGTTTTTGCTAAGGTCCTTGACTTGTGCATGTTCTTACTGAGGACACGATTTCTGTGTTGTAGATAAGCAAGTGTTGTAAATAGTTATTTTCTAATCATTCGTCCAAAAAGAGCCCAGTCGACTCCTGCTACGCTCCGTTTCATCCATCGTGTCTCGTAGGAAGGACTCGGCGGGTAGACCCGTTGTCGGCGGATTTAACTTCCCTCCCGTTGCCGTGGAAACGGAAGGAAGACGTGTTCGATATGTTTATATTTTCATTAAACATATATGTACGGTAGATAATCAGACATTTTTAACCGCGTCCACAGCAACCATTACGTTTTGCCTTTGGATGTTTTCTGATTCGAGGTCAGAACAAAAGCTGAGGCGGACCGAAAAAAGTTGATCGATCGTGGCGACCAGTGATCAAATCCACTAAACATCTCGCTGACATTCATTCAGAAGCTTAAAACGAAGGTTAAATCTTCTAAAATACCTGCAGGCTCGTGGTTGGGTTCTTCCATTTTGGATGGCCGAGAAAATAAATCAGAACTTGTGCTAAAACTTCAACTTACAGTAACTCTCTGCAGACGTTCGCGGCGCCTCCATTAGCTCCTAAATTAAAAGTCTCGACAACAATCGAATGGATTGTAATGAAACTGGGATCAAACATGCGTTTTTTCCACATACGTTTGCGATAGCCGGCTCGACTCAACCTGAAACCCCAATCAGGGATATTGAACATCAAGATTTTCTTTTTCTTCATCAAGCATTTGAAGCATCATGTGACTCTTCTTCCCCACAAAATGGACCAATCACGTGCCGCTACTACTTCAGTCAAGAGGAGCAAGTTGTTGGAATGCAGAGCTGTGAGGAATATAAACATTTATTCCAATAAAAAGCGACGCAGTTACTGTAAATAAGGCCAGAGAGGAGAGCTGGTGTGTTTATTTCACCCCTCGGTGACTCTCAGCTGCACATTAGAGCTCTGAAACTTTAAATTACATTCATTTAAACATGACGCTCTACATTTATGTCCCATAATGAAGAAAATCTGTTTAGTTTTCGACCAAATCGAAGCTAAATTAATGCTGCTGATTGAATATTCTCTGTGAAAAAAACCAACAACAGAATAACCAATTTTCCAGTCTGTGTTCTATTAGCTGCAGCACCGACAGTGTAAAACAAATGGGCAGCAAATCAGGACCAAACAAATTAATGCGCCACTAACTCGGTGCATGTTGGTTCCCATGGCAACACGATGCATACAGTTTTTCTACTGTAACCTCAGCTGAGAAAATCTGGTCCGGAAAAGGTCTGGTTCAAGTGAGACTCTTCTTACAGCTGATTTAATGTGAAGCTCAGGTTAGCTGTGCAGCCTCAGTTACCATGGCGATGTAGCTGTGCAGCATCCATTACCATGGCGATGTAGCTGTGCAGCATCCATTACCATGGTGATGTAGCAGGTTAAACTCTGGCTTTAGGGTCAACATGCCTCATTAACACATTATTCTTGCTTCCAAGTGCGGCCCACTGGTTAGCGTTAGCGTACACGCCAGTTCAGCGAAATGCATGTTTCAAAAAGAAAGCTTTGTTAGGAAATTAACTGTTTCTGTCCACTGAAATAGTAAAGAGGTTTTAATTTAAAGAGTAGCGCTTGTATTATCAGTGGAATGCAGTCGACTCCAATTATATGGTTTAAACAGCGAGAATTAGAAATAAAGGCCCGTTAGCTTCGGCAGCTCATGTAAACAAAGGCTTTCCAACTTTTTCCAACGTGCATCAAGTTGAATTAATTACTGAGATAACAACGGCTCGTCCTCTCCAAAGCGCTCAACGGCAGGTTTGTCCTGGAACCAGAAATACTAGCACATGTTAGCATGCTAAGATGCTAAGTTAGCATGAGCTGTAGGTTGTTTGTTAGCTAAACGATGTCAAGTCAAGCACATTTCAAACAGCAGAATTCGACCCAAAATGCTTCCCATTTGACATAAAAGATCATTCGTCATGATTAAATGAAATAAAAAGTTCCAATACTAATGTCACAGCATCTTAAATATTATAACTAAGAGCTCAGAATGTTATAGACAGAAACCCAATGATTCCATTTAGCAACAAACAAAACATTTCGAAAATGTTAGCAGAGTTTAACAGAGTCGCTAAAGATGAGGAAATGAAAACTATCGCCGGCTTCAGATCATACGTGTTGTTCCGAACTTGACAGAAGCCAAATTTAGATTTATTATCAAGTTAACTTAATCTGGAAAAGCATCCCCAGATTCAGTGAGTAACGGCTCCACGACTGTGAGGTAGAAACATCAGCGACACGGATGTTATTAAACCTGTTCTTAAAATTCTCAAATTTATCAGAAACTAAGCACAAAGATGCTGCGTCTGTTTTACCAGCAGTGCTACCAGGAATATGTCACAATCGGCAAACTTCTAAACATGAGATCCTCCTCCTGGTATCATTTTAGCGCCTGGTTACAAACCCTTAGCTCTTCTTGTTATACTGATTTCTGGCCCCCTTGGAGGACGTCTTCCACACACCAACATTTGGTGGAGGGTACATGGACGTCCACAGGGAGCTTCATGTGACCATCTGATGACAGACTTAGATCTCTTGGACACTTGGCAGCGAGAATAATTACACAAACACCGTCAGCACACGCTCGTATCTTCAGACTCTGAAGTTTGTTTTTCTATCAGAAGCGTCAGAAACTTTTCTCAGATGTTTTCCTCCACCACAACGCCAGCAGCTGCAGGAACGTTGCCTCAGAAACCAGATTTAAAACTCCAGTTTACTGTGACATAAAGACATTTACCTGCCGCTGATTGTAAGTAAAAGTCCTGCACCCCGGCTTTAGAGCTGCCTGCTATCAAACCCAACTCTGAACCTACTAAACGCAGGTATTTTAAAGGATTAGCACGGGTCGTGTTGCAGGAAACTAACTCCAAAATCAAAAAACAAAGCAGTGCTTTTGTGCCCACTCTGCTCCTTCTGCCAAGTTCCAAATCACAGCACTGCAGCAGCTGATTCTGTTGCTTTCATTTGGCTGATTTATTCTTGCTTAAGACAAAAAAAACTTTTACTTTTCTGTTTCTAACGTGAGGTCAAAGACTACCGGTGATCACTAAACTTCACTTCCTCACACCTGCTCATCAACTGATTATTTTTCAGTAAATTCAGAAATATTTACTTAGAATATTATTAGACATGAACTCACAGGCAAAAAGAAAAAATATTTACCTCAGTTCAATAAATTAGCAAACTGAAAATTAGAATTCGCAGGTAGCTCAAACATTTTCAGTCACTTCATCTGTGACGTGAACGGCGTACAAACTAGGGTTGAACGATCAGCGGCCTGGTCGGTTATCGTGGCCGATATTTGGTTGATTATCTGTATTTTTATTGAGCGATTATTGAAAAATGAAGTGCGCTAGATCTTCAGGCGTTCTCTTTCTGCGTGGTGTCAGAAATGTTTCTCAAAACAGAGAAAACTGAAACACAAGCAACAAACCAGGACGTTAGCTTCTCTCACAGTGGCTAAGGCTACGCTAACGGCTAGCGGCTAAGTCAGAAGGCAGCCACACATTAACTAAAAAAAACAATCTGGAAACAACAAATAATACTGCTTTAAGGTCTGAACCTTAGTGGACCATTGAAGTGACCGAACAGACAAATGTTAAGAAAAAAGAGAAGAACTGAGGAGATCATTTAATCATTCTTGTTTTTATTTTACATATTCGGTTAGAGTTATTAATGAAGAAGCCTAGTTATGATTGACAGATTCTCTGCTAAGACGTGCTGTTAAAACATTACATTTAACGTGTATCAGCTCCATATATTGGTGATCAATAATCGTCTGCCCTATAGCAGACCCATCATGTTGGTCAACCCCTAACTTTCAGTCAACATCCGAGCTGCGTTTCTTTCATGAACGCTCGCTTCCTGCTGCCATCGGCTTCATTCTCAACCCAACGCTTCCTGCTTTAGTTTGCAACGAGGAAGCCCCGTCCTCCCAGCATGCACCTCTCCACCAGCGCCGCGTATTCTCGTCCTGCCTAAAGCCGAGTGGCCTTTCGTCGACTCGCGTCGCGGTCATGATGATGATAAAGGACGTTCCACGCAGAACCTTCTCATGATGCAGTAAACAGCCGGAGAGGAGAGATCCACGCTGTCACATCTCGTACGAATTAGCTCCAACAGAGAGCTCTCGTCTGAAACCAAACAGCCGAGGCGAGCCTCGTTACCGCCGACAGAATTCACAAAGACGCGTTTGTTGTGTTCGACACGCGAGCGGCTGTTTGCTGGGCCGCGTTGTGTTTGGGTGGAAGCTTTGACGGCGTCACTTTGTTCTGACTCTTATTAGCAAAACAGGATTAGAAGGAAGAGAAAAAGAGGAATCGGAAAGTTTGAGCGTCTCCGAAACCAAGTTATTTTGTTGTTTTTTTTCCTGTTTAGAACGGACGGCGGATACACAAAGAATCCGG